CTTCTGATGATTTCTTTCCTGTCCTTGCCCGTGTTAAACCTTTGGGTGCCATCTACTTTCAATCGTTAAGATTCAGAGAGACAGTTGGATCCTTTCTGTCCAAGACTTTTCCTCGTCTTTTCATTACCCCAAAGCATCACCCCTTCCCCCAACCCCGCCGCCCACCGCGGTCGTCAGTGCACACTTCTTAGCATTTTTGTACGTGCTGGGGCACGTTCCTCCTTATCTGGATACTCCAGACGAGGGGTGGGGTGGCGGGAGCTTGCTAGCTTGCTGCCATGCGTTTCCCTGTAAGTGTGCCCTTGACCTGTCCTTCCTCTGTGACCTCTTGATACAGGAACAGTGAACAGATTTCCTACCTGGAGGATGTATCAGGAAACCACTGATAAATATCAACAGTAATACAGCAGTTTCTCCAGGGGCTGGAGCTCATAAAATTAGAAACCTGAGGGACACGGATGTGTCAACAGAATAGCTTGGCTGTTTGTCGTCAGTGCAGAGACAGATGCGGGAGCCAGACAGCTCTTTCTAGTTCTGTTTCTATTAGGTGGCTCTCCTCCATCTTCAGAAGAGATGATAAAATAAGGAATGGGCCAGCGTCCTTCCTAACAAATGCAAGTAGGTTTATCACTTACCGAATGTTGATTCCGAGGCCAGCACTGGGCTAAGTGCTTTGTAAACATATCTCACTAAACCCTTCCAGCAACCCTCTGAGGCAGGTGGTGTGGGTCCCATTTTTCAGAGGAGGACACCGAGACTCAGGAAGGTTAAACAACTTGCCGATAAAAATGCGTGTGGTGAAATCTGAATGTAAACCAAAGCAGTCTGATGGGGTCTGGTTGGTTCTGATAAGCCCCACAAGGGAGGGGACCTGTCCATTTATTTGCCAACAAGAACAGGACCTTGCACATGGAAGGCAGATAAGAAATATTTGTTATAACTGAAGAGGGATGAATAAAGGACTCCAAGAGCTATTTACGTATGTGATACCCAGTTTCCTTTAAGTCTATAATAGTGGGTAGGGCTAACTAAATACTGATTATAGTTTTCAACAAAATGGCTTAAATATTCAACCCATGCATCTCATTAAAGAAAATGTAATAATATGTGGCAAATTATTCTAAAACCATCAACTCCCTTTACATCTGAGGATAAAGGGAATTGTTTCTGGCTGTGCTATTTTGCACAAGCTTGCTTTTAAGACAGGGTTGGATTCAGCTTTGGTTTTCAGTGTCAGTTTTTAAATTTTTGACACTTCCTTTTTTTAAGGCAGGGTGATTTGTAACCTAAGGATACATTCTCCTCCTGTTGTAGTTTTTTTTTTTATTATCTCATTGTTACTATCACTGTTCACGTGGCTCCTCTTTGACTTTTTCTGTTTTATCTCTGTATTTATTTATTTTGCAATCTCAAAGTTAATCCCAGCTATGATTTCATCTGCTGCTATCTGCTTCTTTCTTTTGATGCTAAAGGGTGCAACTAATTGTTCCAGATGGGTGTATAGAGTAGAAAGAAGTCTGGAAGACCTAACATAATTTTACTGTCGCCATGCAAATATTTCTTTCCATCACTAGCACCATGAATTCTAAACACAACATAATTTCAAACCCATTGCTACTAGTAAGTGCCATATAAGCAACAGTAAGTAGTAATTCATGATTGTTATTATGCTTGTTTCATAATCCATCACTTTAGAAAACAGTCCGGCTTCATACTCTTCCCTCTGTGTTGCAAGAAAAATGAAACTCCTCTTTTTTTCTTTTTTTCCCTCTCCAGATCTCCAAGGGTGGGAGTTTTGGCTTGGGCGAAAAAAAATCTTTTTTCCATTTTAATTTGAAAATTACAAATGTTGTTTATACATGCAGATACATAGAATATAATGTATATAATAGTCTCGTTCTGTCCTGTAAGACATCCTATCCTACAATAGGCTTACTCTATCTGGGCACCAGTGTTCTCCAAACAATGGAAAATGTGAAACATACTTTGCTTCCTTCCACCTTCCTTTGAACTTTGATCTTTTCCCTACTACCCTTCCTTATCTTCCAGGTGATTTAGAGTACCCTTATATATGTCAGGCCGTTTCTCTAATGCAGAGGCCCCCAACAAGAAGGGTCAGCCCGATGGATATTTCTTTGACAGTTTCCTCTTATCCTTCCATGGGTTTGAAATCTTGAGTGATTTTGACCAGAGGAGAGGCCAGCCTTTCCTTACCCTTTAAGGGAAACACTGGCAAAAAGGACAGGAATGAAGACCAGTCACTTGTCTGCTGTGTGCCAGGCACTGTCCTGGCGTGTTGCGTGAGTAAAGGAATCCATTTGACCCCTGCTGCATGGCATGTTCACAGTCTCATCCTGGCTCTCTGAGATCAAGAGCTCCAAGCTCATTTAAAAGCACACTAGAATTTTAAAAGAAAAACCATCTTATTTCCAGCTGCCAGCTAGATCAAGTGGCCCTACAATTAAGAGTGTTTTCCTAGCAACCTTGAACTTTGATAAGAATCATAGTGGTAATAAATGGCTAAATTAGATGCCTCTCAAATGGTTAGGAAGTGGAGCTCTCACCCCTGCATGAAATAGACCAACCTTTGTTCATTTTATATAAACGTCTATTTTAATTTTTAGAAATGAAAAAATATATAGGCAAAGCAAGAATCTGGCAACACCTCCATAACCACTTAGATTGGCGATGACTAATATTTTGTCATATTTACTTCATCTCATTTTCACTAATAAAAGAAATCAAACCTTACTGGTCATGGTAAAGTTTTCTGAACCACTTACCCCTCGTACAATCCACCGCAGCTGTCATGAATTAAGTTTAGGCCACCCGATTCACTTTTATACTATTCCCAGCACATATGTGAAATCACATTTTGCAAAAACTTTGTAAGATTTCAGGTGGGGAAACAGCTTTGCCTCGCAGACTTAAAAACTCAGTCTCGTTCCCATAACTTCGTTTGCAAACCCAGTTGCCATCTAATTATTTCAAGTTCTTTAAATAAGCCGAAACCCTTCACCTTTTAAGTAGGGTTTTTGCTTGCAGGGAGCCCGTCTGCTCTCAATGCAGGGACACGCTGAATGGAGGCAAAAGCGCTAGCTAGAATTTCACATTTGTAATTGGTAAGGGGGGGAGGTGGCTGCTTTCGGAGATCAGGTTTCAAGTCCGCCCCGGTTTTTATGTGTGTGGGAATGGACGCAAAGGAAAACACAGCTGAGCTGCATTGTGGCTCTTCCTGTGGAACCTGTTCACGTCCAGGGTGAGTAAACCCGGGGAGAAGTGCCTCCCTCACCCAGCCTCTAGTGAAATTTGTGCCTGAACTCAAAGCAGCTTACTTCCCAGGGAATACCACCTGAATCCACACAGCGCCTCATTTGCAAAATGTGTCCCTTTATGGGGGAAAATCTGCTCGAGAGAGCTTGGCCCTCCTCCCCGGGATGGAGGAAGGAGTAGGTCTGGGGAGGCGTCACTCGGTAGAGTTGCTGATGTCAGTAGCGTGTCAGCCGTGGGAGGCTCAGTTTATGAAACTGAGTTACACCTAAGTGTCTTAGGAAACTCCGTTCAGAACTCACCGGAGCTGCCGTCCTGGGAGGGGGGAGGGAGAATGGAGAAGAGACCTCGGAGTTTTCCTTCCCGTTTCTGTCCCATTTTGGGGACTTGGGGATTAAACGAAATGACAGCCTCAAATCTCCGGACATTTTAGGAAATCGGTATGTAGCTTTAAGCTCTCATTGATTCCTCTTTCTACCTGGGCAAGCGTTGTAGTTACAGACACTACATGTCCAGACCATGAGGGGCTGTGTTCTTAGTGGCTGCTGGCTTATTTCACTCTGTCTGGGCTTGGGGGGCGCGCAGTGTGAACACTTTTGTCCCCTCGCTGCATGTGCTGGGAGCCTTCAGCACATGCTGTTCCTTTACGTGAGGTTTACATGTTGGTGAAAAGTCTTGGTTCCCGTACCTCAGGAAATGGTTTTGCTGATTGTGCGCTGCAGAGAAGCTACAATTTACATGATTTAAATGCTCTGTGAAGAGTTTTTGAGCAGAATTTTAAAATCTGGCCAAAGTCAAATAATGGAATGAAATCTCTGTGCTAGTATCTCTCTAATCATCAAGGCTGGGATGGAGGAAAAAAAAGTTCCAACTGCGAAGTCAAAAGATGAAAGGAGAAGCCAGGACCGAGGCTAATGTCGGGGGTTGGGAGTGAACCCAGGAAACGGAGCAGGGCGCATTCAGTTCTGCGAACGAGCTGCTTTTTACAGGTTATTTCATTTTCAGATGCCCAGTGCTAGTAAGTTCTCTTTCTCCCCACCAAATGGCAAATAACACCAAATGCAGCCTTAGAATGTCAACAGTGAGGGTATAGAGATGGGTTCTCTTTACTGAAACGAGAGGCTCTAGCTCAGAAACCAAGAGTGCAGCTCCAGAGTTCACTCCCACCCCACCCTGCCTCCAATTCCTGGCGCTCGGTTTCTGTCAAATTTAGGGGAACCTTTTGTAGGCGGGGAAACTGGAATCCTGGAGACTCACCCCTGAGCCGCCGTCCTGTTTTACTTTCACTTTGCATTCTTTTGAAATTTAACCTGTGGTCTTATTGAAACATCCCTTTGACTATCTTTCCATTTAAATAGGAAGTCAGTATCTTTGATCAGAAGGCATGTGCTTACTGGAATCTGTGAGTTCCTTACTCACTCTTTTATTTAGTTGAGTCAGAGGAAAAATAGTGTGCATGTTCCCCACAGTTGTCTGGTTTTATTAATAGTTCAAGGAGGACTGATGAGGTGAAGATTACTGTCAGAAGAAAGAATAAAATGGTTTCAGGTTGTGGCTGATTTGTGCAAGGACCGCGTTACGTATTCGTCCTTAATCTTAGTGCTTATTCTTAGATCTGAGTTCTTAGTCTCAATTCTTGATTTTTTTGTATTATTAAGCCGATTTCTAGATTTAGTAAAACCAACATTAACTAAAGCTGTATGGCTTTTCTGTTTTTCTTCATTTCTTAGTTGTTCCAATGGAAACAGCTGGAGAACTTGTATTTCCGTGAGAAAAAGTTTGCTGTTGAAGTTCACGATCCGCGGAGGTGAGGATCACAGCCTTTTCTCTGTGTGGGTCCAGTGACTATATGAGTATGCATGGTCTAAATTTTCATGTGCATGTCTTTTCATTTTTGGGGGGTGTTGTACACCTAAGAGTAAAATTGCTTGGGTCAGTGACAACTCTTTCTTTAACTTTTGAAGAACTGCCAGGCTGTTTTCCAAAGCAGCTACACCATTTTATGTTCCCACCAGCAAAGTGCATGGTTCTATTTCCTCCCCATCCTCCCTACACTGCTTATTTTTAGGGGTGTGTGTGTATGTGTGTGTGTGTGTGTGTGTGTGTGTGTGTGTGTGTG